GAGCTGGAGATTGTGAGAGTCCAGATATGAAAGATGACGGTTTGTGGTCGAGACAGATGGGAAGTTAGATAAAGGTGCACTATGGAATTTTTCTATTTACTTGGAAAAAATACCTTGAGAAACATGCATTCTTACTGTGAGCCTCTCCACAGATCTGACCTGTAACTTAGCCTGGCGTGACTCATAAATAAATACAGCTTTTATTGATTATTGCGATGTCATTTTATCCTTAGTTACAAAAACATGAGACTTTGACCAACTTTATTGATACACGAGGGAAATAATTAGCAAAATGAGTAGCGTAATTAGGGCTGGGTATCATTAAGAAGTTGCCGATACAATACATATCTCGATTCAATGAACTTTCGATTCGATACAATATATTTTAAATCGATTCATTATGGTTCAATAAAAAATAAAGGTTAAATCATGGCTGTGACACTAAAAGTCTTTGTTAAACCACTTCTTGTGCAAAGTTTATATAAAACACAAATATTTTAATCATCAAAACTGTGAAAATGTCAAATAAACGAGTTTTCTACTTTTCTACTTTTTAATCTACTTTTAAAGCTGTAAGAGGCTGTGCAGGCTGCATACCGTTCCTTCAAATCGTTTTTTTTTTTCCTCATCCTATCACTATTTTTTGAGCATTTGACAAAAATCTATTCTCTTCCGAAGCAGAAGGTCTTCGCGGTGGTCCAGGCTGTCTTTGTCCGGCGTTGACGAGTGTGTGAAGGTCCACTCGGGACGATTCTTGTGCAGATCTAGGCTAATGGTCTGGATTATAGCTGGAGGATTAGCCCGTTAGCATGTTATGGGTCCTCACACGACCGCCACCGCTGCATGAATGATGGATGTGTTCTTACTATAACTGGACTCTCTTCTCCACAGATCTGACCTGTAGCTTTGATTTTTTTCATGCCTTGGTTCATGGCTAGGGGTGTGCAAAAATGTTGAAATATCGATTTATTGTGTCAATTAATGTGCTGATACAGTATCGATATTGTGGGCTGCTGTATCGATATATCGCCAAGAGTATTTTTTTGGTTTATTTTACAAAATTATTTTGTTACAGCTACAGTTTTGTTGCTTGTTTAGAGGAAGGAAACTCGTTTATGCGACACATTTGACATTTTCACTGTTTTGATGATTAAAATGTTTCTGTTTCATATTCACTTTGCTGTAGTACTCGAGACCAGCCTTGGACTCGATCTTGTCTCTGTCAGGAAGGCACTTGGACTCGATCTTGTCTCGGTCTTGAAGGCGCTTGGACTTGGTCTTGCTTCGGTCTTGAAGGCATTCGGACTCGGTCTTGTCTCGGTCTTGAAGGCATTCGGACTCGGTCTTGTGTCAGACCTCGTCTTGAATTCGTTTGGACTTGGTATTCGTTTGGACTTTGTCTTGTCTCGGTCTTTAAGGCGTTTGGACTCGGTCTTGTCTCGGTCTTGAAGGCGTCTGAACAAGGTCTTGTCTTGAGGTTTCACACTTGACGAGTTATAAAATGGAGCTAGATTTATAAAAACAGTGAAAAAAAGATTTATAAAAAGTGAAAAATTTCCCAAACTAACTATAAAATACAGATTGTTGAAATGTTAAAATATTAAAAATTACAAAGATGGTCTCGATTTGATCTTGATGGGCCGTGGTCTTGGTCTTGTCTCGATCTCGACTTTTAAAAGTCTCAGTTTTGTCTCAGTCTCATCCCTCAGAGGTCTTGGTTTTGTCCTGGTCTTGGGACCCTGTGGTCTCGGACTGGTCTTGGTCTGGATTAGTGCGCTCTTGACTACAACACTAGCCATGATTTAGGCTTTATTTTTATTGAACCGTATCGAATCGTTTTGAAATATATCGTACTGAATCGTATTGAATCGAGAGCTCACTGTATCGAGATATGTATCGTATCGTGGCCTATGTATCGAGGCATGTATCGTATCGCCAACTTCTTAATGACACCCAGCCCTATTCACGACTTTTAGAAAATTAAATACATTGAATAGGCTCTGTTCTCACAGCAACCTCACTGTTAGCATCACCGCACCTCACTGTTAGCGTCACTACTTCCTGTACAATTTGATCTTTTTGCTGAGTCGCGTTAATGAATAAATGAATAATATGAATAAATATTTAAAGGTAAGACAGAGAGCACGAAGCTGTGGGTGGATAAAAAGTACATAAATAAAACGATCAGGCCTACTTGAGCTGAGTATACTTTTGTGTTTAGAGATGTTTACGTCTCAATGCTAACGCTAACACTAATTTGAGGCATTATAAATATTACAACAACACCACAAACTGAAGTTATCTACATATCATACATAAAAAATAATAATAATTGGGTTGTCTTTAGGGTAATTAATTTGAATTTTAATAGGTTCTTTATTTGTATTTTACGATTTTAATAAAAGAGACCGTTAGGCTGCGTTCACACTGCAGCCTGAAGTGACCCAAATCTGATTTTTTGGCCTCTATGTTCCTGTATCTGATCTTTTAATGACAGTCTGAACCACACAGATCCGATTTTTTCAAATGCGACCCAGGACACTTGGATATGTGCTCCTGAAACTGATACATATCTGATCTTTTGACATGCGACTTCAGTGTGAACGGCCAAAGCGCGTTCATCCGACCTACACGTTATCAACAAGACACAAACAAGTCACTAATTAACGAACTCCATGTCACTGAAGTGAAGCACATCACCACTCACCACTCTTGGCTCCGTCTCCGCATCCACACGTTCCTTTCAACAAACGTCGCTGCCACTGTCCCACAAAACACCACGACCAAAAACCTTGTCCTTCTCCTTCTCAATCTCCTCCTTAAAACAAGTAAGTTGTTCATGTTCTGGCTCTGGTACGAGAGGAACTTTAAAATCTCCAGGTGCTCAATGCTGCGTCCATGTTTGAACAACTTCCTTAAACACAGAGCACGCTCGCTGCGGTTGACGTCGTTGTGTCTCCAGTGCACATGCGGGACACTTTCGGGCCGTTTTACGTTCACACAGCTGATTACATACAAGTCGCATTTAATTGGAAATGTGAATGACCTCGCAAAAACATTGGATTTCACAAAAATTGAGCATTAAGCCCTGCAGTCTTAACGTAGCCTTAGATTTGAGAAGCTTGAGCAAACTAGCGTGATACTGAGCACAGTCTATTGTTCAAACATTAGCATTTTGAGTCAAGTTCATGATCAGCAGGACCAAGATGGAGGATTAGTCTGTCAAATAATCAATGATCGCTCTGGCTCGTTTTAACGGAGAGGTCCTCAGCCAAACCTCTGTCAGGAAAAGACTGTGGTTTGGAGCAGACGCAGGACTTTGGAGGAAGAAATTTGACTTTCTGTGTTAAATGTGGACGATTAAAAGTGCGCCTTGTCGTTTTTTCTTATTGGGTTTTATTTGTCATGTTATTTTGTATTGCTTGTTGTTACATTTTATCTGATCCTGGGTTATTTGCATGGGTTGCCGTGTCTGATTTTGCTGCAAAACAAATCGATCGAGGCGTGCAATTAAAGTAATCTTGAAACTTGATGAGGAAATGTTCAAATGTTTATTGTTTTCTCACCGAGACGTTTACGAGTCACCATATAGGCATAGTTTAGGGATGCGCCGATCCAGCCTTTTCATTTCTGATTAAGATTCTGATACTATGGATTCAGTGTTGGGAAGGTTACGTTTAAAACATATTCCCCCACAGATTACAGATTACATACCCCAAAATGTAGTTTGTAACGTAATCCATTAAATTACTTAAAATGAGTAATGTAATCTGAATACTTTGGATTACTTGATATTGTCATGCTTTTTAAAACTACATGAATGTAACAACCACATCCTGAAAATTCTTGTTTGTTCTCTTCAAATTGTCTGTTGAGCCAAAGTCTCCATGAACAGGTTTTACTGTAGAGAAACAAAGACCAGGATCTGAACATAAGATGTTTTGTCTGTTAAAAGAAAATAAAAAAACTCAGTCTTTCCTTAAACATATTAAAAATATTATTGACAGAGAAATTATTTTTGTTAGTGTCATATTGTTTAGACCTGGTTTAGATGCGGTTTTAGTCCTGGTTTTAGTCCTAGTTTAGACCTGGTTTAGTCCTGGTTTAGACCTGATTTAGTCCTGGTTTAGACTTGGTTTAGACCTGGTTTAGACCTGGTTCAGTCCTGGTTTAGTCCTGTTTAGACCTGGTTTAGTCCTGGTTTAGTTCTGGTTTAGCCCTGGTTCAGTCCTGGTTTGAGTCCTGGGTTTAGTCCTGGTTTAGTCCTGTTTAGTCCTGGTTTAGTCCTGGTTTAGTTCTGGTTTAGTCCTGGTTTAGTCCTAGTTTAGTCTTGGTTTAGTCCTAGTTTAGTCCTGGTTTAGTCCTAGTTTAGTCCTGGTTTTAGTCCTGGTTTAGCCCAAAATGTGAAAACAGGAAAATACCGCCATGTAATCCATTTATTTCAACAAAGTAACTGTAATCCATTTATCACTCATGGAAACAGTCACTGTAACTGAATACAGTTACTCAGAATTTGTACTCTGATTACGTAACACCGGTACATGTAATCTGTTTCTCCCCAGCATGTATGGATTTAAGTATGAAGCCCGATATCAACGATACCAGAGCAGAGACTGAAAACAACATTTATTTCTTTAAAATAATAAATAAAATAAGACAAATGTGATCCAAATGAGTGATATAACTGTTATTATTCTGTCAAGTAACCACAGAACAACTTTGTATAATAAAAGTTCAAACATTATGAGACCATCTAGGGCGACTGTGACCAGTAAATACTAGTTTATGAGTTTATATGTCCAACCAGGATATGTGCTGATTCAATATTTGGAAGCTCATATCAATATTTTTCAGCACTGACGATGATCAGATCGTGCACCCATTTTCACTGTTTTCCCATATCACATTTTTCTATACGAGCCACCATATTTTCTTGTTGTCAGTCCATTGTCGTCGTCCTCCAGCGTTCCTCACACTCTCCTCTCTGTCTTCTCTTGCAGGTTCCGTGACGCCAAAGGCTACGTGCTGTACCCTCAGATTGGGGACAGACTGGACCTGATCTGCCCCCCTCTGGATACTGCGCGCTCCACCCTGGAGTATGAGTTCTATAAGCTGTACCTGGTGTCGTCCCGGGAGCAGGCGGACCGCTGTGAGGTCACCGGGACCCCCAACATCGTGCTGACCTGTGACGAGCCCACCAGAGAACGCCGCTTCACCATCAAGTTCCAGGAGTTTTCCCCCAACCTGTGGGGCCACGAGTTCAAGAGCATGCACGACTATTACATCATCGGTGAGTGTGGGGTCAGAGGTCAACTCTAGGGTCACTGTAGAGAAGTGTGTGTGTCAGTTTGAGCTGCAGGGTAAATGAGGTTAGCTCTGCCTGAAGCAGTGGTGAACCACAGGCAGGACCCAGGGACCTGTGTGGGGCTGGACCGGGTAAACATACAGTCTTATTTTTAGATGTTTCAGTTGTTCTTCTATTTCCATTCTCACTTCAAAAGAGACCAGTCTGGGAACACCACGCGGCACACAGAGAGCAGGGCAGCTTACAAAAAATATCAGTTTAAAAAAATCTGCAGATATAACAAGATCACTGTGTGGGAAACTCCTGCAATATTACCCATATTGATCTATAGAGCAAGGGCTGCCACAGTGGCCCCTGTGGACCCCTGTGGACCCCTGTGAACCCCTGTGAACCTCTCTGGACCCCTGTGGAGACAAGAGCTCTGTGAGCTGGATGAAGTGAATGGGAAACTTTGCTAGATACTGATTTTAATGTGTGGAGTAGCTGAATGTCTGCAGTAGTTAGCTGGTGGATTTTCTGAGTTTTGTCCTGGTTTTTGGTGAATATTTGGTCAAGTTCTATCTCATAGGAGAGTAACATATATTGGTACAGCAATGCTGTTTTAAAATAGTGGTCCTCTGTAATCCTAATTATTGCAAATATATCTATACGTTTCAAGTGATGAATATTTTCTTCTTGTGAATGCTCCTACAAACGGTGTCCATTACAGGAAAAAATCATGTCACTGTGTGCTACATAAATTATTACCTGTGAAAGTATTTTTTCCTCATTTAGCTCATTTAGAATACGGTGGAAAGCTAAAAAAAAATCGATTTAACATAATATCCCCTCTTTAAAAGTTACTCAAGTAAATGTAACTGAGTACTTCCCAGCTCTCCTGATGGTTTGGGTGAAGCTGGTTTTGGGCGCACACATTTGGGTGCTGTGTGAGCTCCCCGCTGGCCGGCTCCTCTCTGGCCTGTGTAAATGAAGGCTTTGAGGGTGCCCGTGGTCAGTGCAGGTACTCCTAATGACCGCACACAGAGAGGCCACTGTCTGCTGAGCGGCCACAGCGCACACTTTAAACGCTGAGGTTCCACTCATTCACACAGGGTTTGAATGTGCTTTCGTACATAAAGATGTCAATACTGAGATTTAAAGGCCTTATATTCATACTTTCGTTGGCAGTTTCTATTAGAAATGACATAAAAGCGTTGTTCAACAGTGTATCACTCAATGAAACCACAACCTTAAAGAATGAAGTAACTTTTTGGTTGGGGGTCCATCACCTGCTGGTTTCACAGTGACATTAAACAGTTCTACTACTGAAATACCATACTGTGAACCATTTTAGACAAAGCAAAAACATGTCCACGGAGAAAAGCGTTAGATGGGGCCAACGCCAGTAAAGCTACACAATGCACCTTTAACCGTAGCTAGAATCAAACCACCAACTCCCAGGTTAGTGTTGTGTTGTTTCGGGCTCAGAAGCGACCCTTTTGACGGTCTTAAACACGCTTTTATCGGTCTCTCCGGAGGGACTGCGCTGACGGGGCTATGAGAGACAAAAAGAAACCCAAGAACAGCAAGGTGGAGAAGGTGTGAAGAACCAGAGGCAGACTCAAGAGAGACGAGACGAGCCCGGAGAAGACACACCCAGAGCGAGGCGGGAGAGACGAAGAAGAGGAGGAGGAGGAGGAGGCCTGTTACCGTAACAACATTTTAAAGGGCCCGTATCACGCTATTTTCTATTTTCCTCATCAAAAACAGAGCTGGAGTTGTTTGTTTTTGTTTCATTCACACATTTTAACATCCATCATCGTTCTTCTCTTAAGCTAAAATCACTTTGCTTCACTTATGATGTCATGTGGAAATACAGGAAGTGCTCCATTGTTTTTTTTAAACTCCATACACCTTGTCTAGAAATGAAAGAATTAATTGGTTCCATCCAAGAATCCATTTTGTATAATGTAGGACTTTTAAATTCTAGTTCAGTTTTTTTTTGTTTGTTTGTTTTTCTGTTTTTGTTATCTCTCTTACGTAGACATCCAATTAGCTTCTGATTTCTTACGATTTCAGATTTCACGAAGAATAAGGAAAAGTGTTTTTTGATAAAGGACCAATGACAACAAGTGTCTTAAAGGACTCATATTGTGCTAAATTGATGTTTTTTGGCTTTTAAACATATTATAAAGTTGTTCCGTCATCAAAAATACACCTGGAGTTGTATTTAGAATCACTCGGTTTAAATATTCCCGGGATTGTTATGTCACAGGTAGAGATTCTGCACAGTTTTAAGTCTATACATCGTTGCAGGACTCATTCTCAGGATTTTTTTGTCAAATCGCGTTTACAACTGCGTGCTTATGAGCGGGTGCTGGATGAGGTTTTTTAGAAGCGCTGTACTCACATTTTACTATCTTAAAAATGTGAAAATCGGAATTAGTCTGAACAGAAGACGCAAAAGTAGCGTTGTGTCTTCATTTTTTATTCTGCATTTAGATGATTCAGGAGGAAATCTGCATATGCAAAAGTGTGTGGAATTGGATTGGGTATGCATGCCAGGCGGCTCGGTGGTGACGCTAGGTGGTGATATATGTGATGTAATTTCCACTCTGGAGGGTGGTTTCAGATTTTTGCATTTTTAAGATAGTAAAACGTGAGTACAGCGCTTCTAAAAAACCTCATCCAGCACCCGCTCATACGCACGCAGTTGTAAACGCGATTTGACTGATATATAAGATAATATATTTTGTTGTTTTTACCCGCAAGCGTTCTCGTGTAAACAGGCCCTTAAGCATCCAAATTACTCACCATGATGAGTTTATAAGAGCTTTTCACAACTTTAAGAGACCTGCATAGAGTTTGGCTGTGACAGTAAAGCTAAAGCCTCTCCAGGTGGGTGGAGAGTCTCTGCCTCAAGTGGAGGAGTTCAAGTATCTCGGGGTCTTGTTCACGAGTGAGGGGAGGACGGAGCGTGAGACTGACAGGTGGATTGGTGCAGCGTCGGCAGTGATGCGGTCACTGTATTGGACTGTTATGGTGAAGCGGGAGCTGAGTCGAAAGGCAAAGCTCTTGATTTACCGTCAATCTTCATTCCTACTCTCACCTATGGTCATGAACTCTGGGTAATGACCAAAAGGCCGAAATCACGGATACAAGCGACCGAAATGAGTTTCCTTCGCAGGGTGGCTGGACGCTCCTTTAGAGATAGGGTGAGGAGCTCAGTCACATGGGAGGAACTCGGAGTAGAGCCGCTGCTCCTCCACATTGAGAGGAGCCAGCTGAGGTGGCTCGGGCATCTGTTCTGGATGCCTCCTGGTCGCCTCCCTGGAGAGGTGTTCCGGTGCACGTCCCACAGGGAGGAGGCCCCAGGGAAGACCTAGGACACGCTGGAGGGACTGTGTCTCTGGGCTGGCCTGGGAACACCTCGGAATCTCCCCGGAGGAGCTGGACGAAATGTGTGTGGAGAGGGAAGTCTGGGAGTCCCTGCTCAGACTGTTGCCCCCACGACCCAGCCCCGGATAAGTAGAAGAAAATGGAATGGAGTAAAGCTAATAAAACAACAACTAGCAAGCTAACGCACACTTCCTGATTAACAGACAGTAAAACGCTTTCTAATTAGACACAGACAGTTCACAGTGGACATATTTTGACCTCAAGAGCTTCGATATACGATATATATCTACTGGGACAAAAAAAAAAGAAAAATTGACAGTAGATGTGGCTCTAGCTCATCACGAACTTAGGGAGGGCATCTGATTGAAAATAAATAAAGTGTGCTTTCTATACATATCCATTATTTTCACTTTTAAAACATAAAATGGCAAAGAAAAGGTGATGTTTAAAAAAAAAAACATAATTTGAAGTTTGATCCCAGCTCCAACTGGTGCATTCTGTTGTGTCCTTTGGCAAGACACTCTGCTCACCTTTCTCATATATGAATATGGTTTGTGAATAATTGTTGGTGGTTGTAGAGGCGTCACTTTAAAACTTGAAATCCGTTACAAATAAAAGTGGGAGTGGGATGGGTGGATGGGTGGTGCCGTCTCGGTTCTTTGTCACAATAGAACTTCAATAACTCACGTTCGTGCCACACAGGCTGGACATGTTTGTCAGTGCGACTCCCCGCGGTGCCTTTAAGAACCAGGACCCCCGGGGCGCGATGGAGAGCCCGGTGCCTCTGCTGCACAATGGCTGGAATAAACAGGCTCCTCTGATATGAATAATAGAGGAGCCGAGAGCGGTCTGCACTCTCCAAATGTTCCACCGCCTGGTGAAGCCTTCTCCAGAAATCTGTTCCATTCTGACGACAAATTAATTTAGTTTGGTGCTTTGTCTTTGCTTAGTCCAAGAATTATTTTAGTCAATGCAAAGTTAGTTAACCAAAATCTATTCAAAGTGCATTAGTGCCTCTCACTAGTACAGACTAGTATTGTTCAATACACATTACACTGGAGTTAGAGTGTAGCAAGGTTTTAAAGCAGACTGTTCTTTTAGAATTTTAATTATGATTAGAATATTAATCTTAAACAACTTAATAAAAGAAACAAGTCCCACCTTAGAAAACTGTGGTGTCCAGTGGGAGCTAACGTCGCCGTAAACGTCGTCACAACAAAGCGCCGCATGCTGTGGGCCTCTCCTGTGGAAAGCTACACATCGCACTAGAGCAGAGTGTTTTTTTTCTTTTGTACCATGACTACATGACGATGTTGAATTATACATTTATCACGTTTATTATAAAATTTGAGAACAAAGTAAATAGTGGTGAAAACGGGGGTTGATCAGTACAATGATGCATTGAAAATAAGCAAATAAAAGGTGCACTATGTAACCTTTTGGTTCGGTGTCCGTCACCTGCTTGTTTCTACAGATATGTCAGATATAGACAACATACGAATGCACTTATTTGATAATCAAAGATACTGAAATTTAGCCTGATTCATCAGACGGTTTCACTACGTACTTCTGACCTCGCAGCATTAGGATTCATTTGCTTGCGACTA